ATACTCCGGGTTACAGCTTGGAGTATACTCTGATTCATACTTCAGTGTGGTGTGGTGTTAAGGAATACTCTGCCAGAATATGCACCACACCACCCTGGAGCACTCTATTAACATCCCTAGTTAAGATATGATCTGAATAGCATCTAATCTGATATATTCGAGAGTAGAGTGGTGTGATGATTTACTAACTCTGAAGCATTTGTCTACCAATATCTTGTGTATTTCTTTTTTATAATAAATACTTTTTTCACTGACCGAAAAATATTTTTTAACTATAGATCAATTAACAAAAAATTCTTTTTTAAAAAAATTATATATATATACAAGTATTATTGAAGAAAAAAATTATATATATGGGCATTGCCAAAGAAAAAAAGACTTTAAGCTTTAGATTTTATCATTTATTAAATTAGCTATCAACAATATATACAGAGTTAGTAAATAGACCAATTTGACTAATTTGATTAATATTTTTATATATTATTAAAATTTTTTAATTATTTTTTTTTTTTTGTAGTTAAGGTTAGCCTCTTTGGCTTCTTACTTTTATTAGATATTAGGATCATATAGTGCCCTTTTCAAGGGGGCCCCAGACAAGTACATTCTGACAAGGATACATTCTAGCCATATCTGTGCCTTTTGAGCGCCTAATTAAGTATCTACCTATTGCTAGGTTCTATACTAGATGCTATACCTATAACCCACTATTGCTTGAGTTACCTAATTAAACTCTCTGATCTGAGTTTCCTATACTAATCCATTTAATCTCACCCAAAATATGTGATACATAAGTCAGTCCAAGTTCCAGGATCGTTGCATGCCACCTATAGGACTACCGGCATGGTTAACTGATTTATCCTTGAGAGCATCACCTGCTAAAGCAGTCCGGTACCCACTATTACTGTATTACTTAGTCTACTTTGGTAACTTACATCTAGGCCAAGACCAAGTACTTGCAAGCTGAAGCTGCTACCATTATCTACTATGCCCTTATAGAGTTTACCCAGACCCTAGTACTCACTATACAGACTATCCCCTATATACCCATCGTCCCAAACTTTCAATCCAGATGGCCTGGAAAGGTTGTAACCTGCCTTTAGTCCCTACGATTAGGTCCTTTTCCTCTAGTTACTCTCTGGCAGCCTGGTTGGTGAAGTGCCTTGCCAAACACTTCGGTCCTGTTCGGTTCTTCAGTATCCTGGTGATAATCCTTTATATAGTACCATCGAAGATCTGTGCTACCTCTCTACTTGAGTCTTGCCAAGCAGGCTTCCATATGCACCAACCTTAGATTTACACAACTACTTCACTTGGGTTTCATATAACTCATACATTATACTATTGTTCCACAATCTCCCAGTACGAGCTGGTATGACCTAGTTACAGATGTTAATCTGTCCTTACACTTACAGTTGCCGTAACACTGTATTAAGAATTCGAATTTTTATTGTTGGTAGAATTCAAACTCTGGTCTTGCTACTTGGGAGTGTGACAACTTCACCACTTCACTAAGTTGCCACACCCTAAAATTTTTTAATTATATTAATATTAAAATTTAATAATAGCTAAAAAATTAGTCAAATTAGTCATATTAGTCTATTTGTCAACTCTAGTATAATATATATATATGCAATATTAGGTTTTTCAAAGATTGAATCCAGTAATAACAATAATAAAATTGAAGCCTAAAGTCTTATTTTCCTTGACAGTACTTATATTATTATACTATATATAAAATTGGTCTGAGATCAAAAATAATTACTCAGAAATAAGCGTAATACTGATATTTATATAGATTTAGATTTTACTTTTCAGAATCACTAGGGTTTATCTAGCACTTTAACCATTCGGTCATTATAGTTATTTTCACTATTCCGATTTCTGTCCTTCTGCTCTCTATTGGCCTTTTTGATATTAGTATCAGAAATTTTATCACTATAGTAATTCTGAATCTCTAATACCCAGCTGATATCAGCAACTGCTTGTTTTCAAAATATTTGTTTAGATAAATTTTTATATAAGAAGCAGCTTTTTGTTTTTACTAAATAGTTAAAGCTACTTCTTCATCTTCACTTTTTTAATAAAATAAATTAAAATGAATCAAGTAAAAATAAAATAAAAATAATAAAATAATAGTAATAATAATATAAATAATAAATAATATTAATAATAAATAATAGTTATTTTTTTTTTTCTCTTTAACTAGCCTCTTTGGGACTATAGTTTTTATTCAAGTCTTTACTGAATAAGGAGCTCATCCTAACTCTGTACATTAGAGAGTACATTCTAGCCATACCTGCGCTTTTTGAACACCTAATTAAGTATCTACCTAGGTTCTACACTAGATATTGTACCTATAACCTACTATTACTTGAGCTATCTAATTAAACTCTCTATACAGTGTTTAAAATTGGCTTGCACAAGGTGCACATATGCATGAGCTTTTCTTAATATACAAGTATTTTGTAAAACATACATGCAACATGTGCAAGTAAAATTTAAAAAAAATTGCACTAAGTTTATATGATACATATATTGTATCTGAAGTGCCTTCTATCTAAAATTGTAACTTTAAATATCTAAAGTAGCATTTAACTAGAATTACATACATAAAGATCTAATTTTAGAGGCTTAATTTTAATTAGATGCTACTTTAGATATCTGAAATTGCAACTTCAGATGAATTATAAATTTATATATAACATATATATATATTTGCAAAAGTTGTAATTGTACATACAAAAAAACTTTTTTTATTAAAAGTATGCAAATAAAAAATTTTTTTATTTGCACAGTTGCAAGTAATTTTTGTTCTAAATTTTAAACACTGCCTCTGTAATGTAACTCTACCTGTATCACCATTATATCTTACAAAGTTCTGAATTCTCACCTATACCCTTAGAACTAATTTATCTTCGAGGCATCGTTGCTAGAGCTATCCATACCCACAATCCAGTTAACCTAGGCTTTCAGTAACTTACACCGAGTCCGAAGACAAGTATTTGTGAGCCGAGGTCGCTACCATTATTTACTACTGCCCTTATAGAGTTTATTCAAACCTCAGCACCCACTATACGGACTATTCACCATACATCCATCATTCCAAACTTCTAATTCAGATAGCCCAGAAGGACTGTGACCTGTCCTTGGTTCCCGCAATTGGATCTTTTTCCTCTGGTTACTCTCCGGTGTCCAGGTTGGTGGAGTGATTTGCCAAACACTTTGGTCTTGTTCGGTTTTCCAGTTTCCTAATTGATAATTATTTACGTAGTACCATTAAAGATCTGTACTACTTCTCTACTTGGGTTTTGCCAAGCAAACTCTTATACTCTGTAAATTCGCTGGATTTATCCAGTAGCTTCACTTGGGTTTTGTATAACTTGTATGTCACATTACATATTTCACTACCTCCTAGTACAAGCTGATACAACCACTATTACAGGTTCTATAACCTAATAGGATACAGTCTTTCAAATGCATTTTTTTAAATTCGAATTTTTGTCACTAGTGGAATTCAAACTCTAGTCCTGCTGCTTGGGGGTGCGACAACTTGCCAACTTCACTAAGTTACCACACCCTATAAATAATAGTTATAATAATATTAAAATAATAATATTATTATTAAAATAATAATAAAAGTGAGATATATAGTGCTGATATTTATATATATATTATATTATTAATAATAATATATCTGTGATGCCTGGGTATTAATTCTTCTTCTTTTTTTGTAGTATTCACATCTCTCTGAATTTAGTTTTTCCAAGTACATTTTATATTGATGTCAATGGAATTGTTGGATGATTTGAAGCACTTGATCCTTACTTAGTGTTCGAAAACGGGTTAA